CACAACTTGCTTTGCACATGTCAGCATTCCCATGGATGCTAAACACGTACAGTATAGTCCGTGCAATGGCAGGTTCACTGTGAATAACTAGACTCTTTCTGTTGTTTTTAATACTGGAATTGGGATCCATTCTGGTTTTCTTCCAGTTCTTTAATGGAAAGCTAGGGAGTGTTATGCCTGTCTCCTGTCAGAGTTTATCCTAATAGCTCTTGGTGGTCATCATAAAATAATCCATCTGAAACTTAACAGATTGCAAATGAAATAGATATCCTAGTATTTGTTTTGCTGCTGCCTAATGATACTTCTGTTTGAGTCATTGAATACTTTCAAAGCATAACCTTTAAAGTGTGTTCCCACACTTGGCACATTTAGTTCTAACAAACCAGAGCAAATTTTGTTTCATGAGAAACTGCTTGCCAAGCTTTAATTTAGGTCTTCTTAGAGGATTATTAATGAACTTTCGAAGTGTATGGGAACATTGTTTATTGACAAAACAATGACATTAAAATTCAGCATCATTCTCAATCAAAGACAAGGCATGGGATTTGGGAGATACTGAAAAACACCACTGTTAACCTAATGATAAGCTTGTAATTTTGCCTCTAACTAGTATTTGGAAACATCCTCAATTTTCCTTAATTTTATCCACCTTATTCTTTTTTTTTAACCATTAGCTGATTATAGAACATAACTTTGAATAAACAAGTTGGTAAAATACCAATTATTATCTTAAAAATTTAAGTTCTTTGAAGCTAGATGATATATTTATACCTTTGCTTTTATAAAAGCATTTATCTTTTAAAAGCTATTTAGGTGGTGATAGTTTTCTCATTTATTCATACTAAAATTATAGTGATTGAATTTGGTTGTTATATCATTTATTATTTTATTTCTTGTGATTGTTTCCGTATTTTTCCTTTTTTTTTTTTTTTTTTAAGATTTAAGATTATTATTATAGCCCTGGCCGGTTTGGCTCAGCGGTTAGAGCGTCAGCCTGCGGTCCTGAGAGACCTGGGTTCGGTTCCCGCTAAGGGCATGTACCTTGGTTGTGGTTTGTCCCCGGCCCTGGTCGGTCGTGCGGGTGGCAGCCACTCGATGTGTCCCTTTCACATCGATGTTTCTCTCTCTCTCTCTCCCTCCCACTCTACCTGAACAAAAAATGTCCTTGGGTGAGGAAAAAAAAAAAAAAAAAAAAAAAAAAGATTATTATTATAGAGTGACTAAATTTTAAGAGTCTTGCTAGCAGGTGGCAAAATGTAATACAGCCTGCTCTATGAAGAATAATAAATTTCAGTTCCGGTACCTGCGTTTACTTAAAATGATTGACTGCTTCACCCAGCAGGTGTGGTTCAGTGGATTGAGCATCTTCCCATGGACGGAGAGGTCCCAGTTCGATTCCTGGTCAGAGCATATGCCCCTATTATAGGCTTGATCCCCAGTAGGGGGTGTGCAGGAGGCAGCTGAGCAATGTTTCTCTCACTAAAAAATCAATAAAAACATATTTAAGCCCGGCCGGTGTGGCTCAGTGGTTGACTGTCAACCTGTGCCCCAAGAGGTCGCTGGTTCAATTCCTGGTCGAGGCACATGCCCAGGTTGTTGGCCCAATCCCCAGTGGGGGGCATAGAAGAGGCGGCCAATCAATGTTCTCTCTCATCAATATTTCTCTCTCTCTTTCTCCCTCTCTCTTCCTCTCACTCTAAAATAAAAAAATAAAGAATATTTTAAAAAATGATTTGTCTTTGGCTAGAGTTTTTTTTTTTTTTAATTTGAAGTTCTGAAATTTACAACTCTGTTCTCCAGGGAACCAAATCACATTATAAAATGCTAATGGATATGTGTCAGCGAACTTTTCAAAAGAAGTAGCTAAGGTCTTTCAGGAATTAAAAATTCATCTCTCTCACTCTCATTATTTCTTTGCTTAGTTTCTATTTTTCTATCTAAATCAGCCTCACATTTTCCAACAAAACTATAGAAAACTCCTCTCAGTGTAATGGAAGGTATTAGGGAATCTATAAATCAATCTTGGTGGTACTCCTCCTAGAATGCCTAATCTTGATTTAATGTCCAGACCTACCTTATCACTCTGGACATCCCCTTAGAGATAATTTCCCACAGTTTTTTGTTTGATTTCTTCTCTCTTTTGTGGAGTTAACTTCCTGAGAAACAGTACATGGGACATGAATGTTTTGAGGCTGTGTATATCTTAAAATGTCTTTATTTTATGTTCATATTGATCTCATAGTTTGGCTGGATATAGAATTTTAGGTCGGATATTGTTTTTCCTCAAAATTTTGAAGGCATTTCTCCATTGTCTTTCAGTTCCCAGGAAAGAAGCCTGACTATTATACAGTGTACACTAAACTGAGAACCAGTAGGACCTGGTTTAGGATTAGTTGTTATTAGGGTAATCCCTTTTGTAAGATAAGGAAGACACCTACTTAGTTAAGGAAATGTCATTTTACTCTCATATGTTAAATGAAGATAGTTCAAGTCCCTGTGGGAATATTGTAGGAGGTAAACATTAAAAATTTTTAAGGTACTTTTAAGTATCAAATAGAAAATCACTTTGATTTGTTTCCTTTCTTGACACACCTTGGGATAAATGACAGAATGTTTTGGTAATAGCCCTTTGTGTGTATGTTTTTTAATTTTTTAATCTTTATCTGAGGATATTTTTCCATTGATTTTTTTTTTTTTTTACAGAGAGTAGAGGGGTGGGAGGGAAGAAGGGAAGAAAGGAGGGAGGGAGGGAGGGAGGGAGGGAGAGAGAGAGAGAGAGAGAAAGAAAGAAAAACATCGATATGAGAGACAAATTGATTGATTGCCTCCCACACGACCCAGGTGCATGCCCTTGACCAGAATCGAACCCAAGACCCTTCAGTCTGCTGGCCTATGCTCTAAATGCTAAGCCAAACCAGTCAGGGCTGTGCTTATATTTTAAAACATTTATCTTGATTTAATTTCCCACAAAGTGCCTTTTAGAAGCCAAATGTATTTTAAATTGGTAAGATGCATATTATGATGTTTGGATTTTTTTTACCTTAACGTTTTCATAATATAACATTTAATTTCATATAAATTGGAGTCCACAAATGATAATGCCATTCTTTTTGATAGTCTATATAAGCAAAGGCTAAATAAAGACTAGAATTATGAAATTGGAATTTTTTGAAACAAATATCTTTGTTGGATATGTTACAAATTTCTTTTGCACTCTAGTAGAATTAAAAATTTTAAATAATGTCTTTAAAAGCAGAAACTAACCATTTCATTGGAGATAATTTTTTTTTTTTTTAGTTTAATCTGCATTGAATTTTTTTTTTTTATCATCACCCAAGGACATTTTCCCATTTTCTGTTCAGATAGAGTAGGAGGGAGAGAAAGAGAAACATCGACGTGAAAGGGACACATTGAGTGGCTGTCACCCACACAACCCCAACCAGGGACAGGGACAAACCGCAACCGAGGTACGCGCCCTTAGTGGGAACTGAACCCGAGTCCTTTGGACCGCAGGCCGATGCTCTAACCGCTGAACCAAACCAGGGCTGCATTGATTTTTTTTAAAAATTGATTTGAGAGAAGGAGCGAGCTAGAGAGGCATCTATTTGTTGTTCCACTTATTCATGCATTCATTGGTTGATTCTTGTATGTGCCTTGACTGGGGATGGAACCCACACCCTTGGCTTATTGGGACGAGGTTCTAACCAACTAAACTGTCTGGCCAGGGCCTGCATTAATTTTCTTTTTTTTTAGCAAGAATTTGCACGCAAGAACAATTGTCATTCTTATATTTGATTACAGTAATTAATTTAATATGATAAATGAGGAAATCAATAGAACACATGTATAAAATGGCAGGTATCAATTCTTAACCTGTTAATTGTTGCTAGGTGGCTGTCTTAGTATTGGTTATCATGATATTCCTTTAGCTTTTATAAATTACCACTAAAGATAAACTGTATGTACCTTCTTTTACACTTACTAAATTAGCTTCTATGTAATGTTGAAGGGTAGCTAGGAAGATTGATAGTTCAGATTTTATAACAAGTCTTACTTTAGGATAATGTGCTTTTTAAAGCTGTTTGGGCATCTTTTTGGCCTTTTCCCCAGTGACATTAATCCTTGGCTGGAAAGAATAAACTGTAGTCTTCCATAACACCTGACTGCAAGCTGCAACAGAAAGCCTTAGACTGTTTAAACAAACATTTCTCAACCTTATAGCACAGACTTCCTGTTTTTAAAGCTTGTCTGACCTTCCTGAGAAAAAGACCAATGCAGCTATGGTTACATCCTGTGGTTCTTGTCATTAAAAACAAAATCTATTGAATTTTTCTAAAGCCCTTGAGTATACAAGTGATTAATGCACCAAAAAATGTAAATAGCAGTGGACTCATGTCTGATCTCTGCTAGGCCTTCAATAAAAGATAATAGAACCAGGTCAGCCTCTAATGTGCCTGTGTTCAATGTGCGCTACAATTGGAATGTTAGGAAAATCTCACATTAAAGAGACCTGCTCTATTCTGGAGAGATTGTAAAGGAAGCATTTGGCAGTCATTTCCTTTCACTTGTGAGAATGAACATGCTTTACATTATAATTGTTTAAACATACCAGAGTCTGCTGTTAGGGCTCTCATATTTTTTCACTGTAGAGTTAGCTTACTCTGAAGATTGAAGGAGATGGTCAGTGTTTAGGTTTCACTGTTAGAATTAATTAAATAATGAAAATGTTAGAATGTCTTCCTTTGTACTAAGTTTTGTTTCCTGTGTACAAGATATTTGCTTTTTCTAGTCAGTTAAAATTAATGTCAAATGGATGTTCAAAATTTATCTTCATGACAGTCTTACTCAACCCTAACACTTCCCTTCTCCAAAGCAAAAGAAACCACCCTGTGTTCTTAAGGTCAAACATTCTTGAGACTGTGGTTTTTGATTTTTGTTTTAGCTAATGTATTGCATCTTTGAATGGATATTTTGAACTAGAGTCTTTTCACATTTTCTAGGGAGAAGTGTGATTGGGTTTTAAGCAGAAGAGTACTGGATCATTAATGTTGCCTATGATGTTGAACCTGACAAATGGTACTGATTTAATCTTTTGAAACATTTAAATTTATATTTTTCCTAAAATAGATATTTGTTATTTTTAAAAAATTAGTTTATTGGAGGTATAGTGCCAGACAAGACATACTTAAAATTCTTTTTAAAGGGCAAAGCAGTGTTTCGGACTTAAAGTGTTATTTTAGTTGCACAAATATCTATCCATCTAATTGAAATTTTGAATTCTTGGTATAATAAATCCAGTTGAGGTTTTCAGTTGTCTTAAGATTATGGACTTTCAATAAACCTGGCTGGATCTCCCCACTGATTTTATCACATATTATCAGACCCATTCTATGCATCCTATCAGGGTCCTGAGTCCCTAAGCTATTACTTCTTCCACAAAACTCTCTTTGTTTTTTTAACTGTAGCATTTTTCCAGATGAAAAAAATCTCTCTTCTTAACTCTATTTTTGCCTTTTCAAAGTATCACTCTATTGGAACATTATAATTTCATCTGTATAATCTGAGCTCTCTTGTGAGTTTAAAATAGAGATAAAAATGCCCTTAAATATGTTTAAAACATATGCCATTTTAGAGGTCTGTCTGTCTCATTCTTAAGTTACTTTAAGGCTTATTTCACATCCTGCATCCTTGGGAGGGCTACCCACTTCCAAAAACTAAAACCTCCAGGCCTGACCTTTGATTGACTTACTGTGTCAGATGAGTTTGCTGTGAGTGCACACTGAACATCTGCCCTCTGTTCTTGGAAAAAAGGGATTTGATGTGTTGCAAGCTGTTGTTCCCACCCTCCCCCTTCCCTCTCTGAATATATTTTATTTTAATGTCGATAATTTTGTACTTTATGAAATTACACTTTAAATACATATTAGCAGTTTATCACTCAAATATATGTTTGGGCTGTTAGAAAGTGTTAAACAAAAAGGAAAGTTGTAATTAACATTCATCTTTAATGTTGTATCTATATATTGAGTATGTACTGTTTTTAATTTCACTAAAAATTAGCTTCCTTGAATTTTAGAATCTGATATTATTTCTACTTATTTTTTAAGAATATTTTATGTAGATTCCAACATTATCTAGGTGGAAATTAACTAATAAGTGTTATTCTTAAATATAAAAGCAGATACTAAGATTCTGGCATTAAAGGACATAAACACTCACTTTTCCTTAACATTTTAGAATATTTTCTTAATTATTACAACATGTATGTCCATGGTTTTCTGTTAAGTCTGTTTCTATGGATATAATTGTCATCACCAACCAAATTATATTTCTGTTCTTTACCTACAAAGAAATTGAGTTGATCATTAAATGTTGGCTGAATGGGAAATGAGGTGATAAATGAAATTATGTAGGAAAATCATTTTAAAAATTCATATTAGTAAATACCTGACCTTGATTTACTTAAGACTTGAAAACTATGGATTAGATGATAGTTACCTGTTATTAAAATAATAAAAGTCATTTGGTAATGCTAAAAGCCGAGAATTATTTTACATTTAATGTGCTAATTCTGATTTCACATACATTTTAGGATATGTCATAATTTTCTTTCTTTTGTAATAAAAAAAAAAAAGACATGGTATTAATGCTTATACCAGGGTAACAGGAGTATCCTGGGATTATGTGGGGGAAACCAGGACATGTGGGGAAGAACATTGATTTGGTTTAGGATGATTTGAGAGTGTCTGTGGTATACTATCTTGATGGAGCCCAGAGGGCATTTGAAATGTGGATCTGTTGCTAAGAAGCAAGCTCGGAGCTGGAAAAAAAAATTGCCATCAGCACAGAAGCAGCTTGAGAATGAATCTTCTCACTCTTGAGAGATGCTGGAATGTGATAAGGGGCTCAACATTGACTACCTATCCTTAGGAGCAGTCATGGAAAGAAACAGAGGATGGCCAGAGGGTAGGAAATCCAGGAGAGTACATAAAGTAAAACTCAAACAGACCTGTAGAATGCTAGTGTGGGAACAGTGCTTGCTGCTGAGAAGAGTACAGATTGGTTCAGCTTTTAGGAGGGTAGCTTGATTCAATCTCTTTGACTAAAAAATGCAAAGCCATTGAACGAGAGATTTGAACAGTATAGAAATTCAGAAATATATGCACAGATACACATAGAACTGGGTTATGATAATTAAGCACTTTCAGAATTATTTATTTAATTGATTTTTAGAGATACAGGAAGGGAGAGGGTGAGAGAGAAACATCAATGTGAGAGCGAGACATGGATTGGCTGCTTCTTGCATGCCCTCTACTAGGGATCGAGCACACAACCCTAGCATGTGCCCTGACCAGGAATCAAACTGGCAATCTTTCAGTGTTTGGAACCATGCTCAACCAACTGAGTCACACCGGCCAGGGCATAATTAGGCACTTTTTAATTATGGCACTCCCATACTATAGTATTCTCTGCAACTATAAAAAGGAATCAGATGTTAATGATCTGCTGTATGGTGAGAGAAACAAGTTGTCATATAGCATGTAGGATTTCATTTTCATGAAATAAAAATCAAGGGAATGAACCCCCAGACAAATGAATATATATGTTTTTAAATATTTGTGTATGTTTGTATACATGAGTTCTAGAAGAGAGTCTGAAGAGATGTACTTCAGCTTGTTGAATGGAATTGTTTGCATTTTCTGTAGGAATGTATATTAGTCAAAATCCAAAAGGACTTCAAAAAATATATATATTCTTTTTTTTTGAAAACTAGAGGTTTTGTTGTGTGGTACCATTTTGTGAGTTGGACAAAGGAAAGAAGTTGATGGTTTGTTTAAAATTATAACTCTGTATTCTGCATAGTAATACAAAACAAAACCTCCCCATCTTAGGATAGTATGCAAAAACATAGAACTAGTACTAGAACAACCCTTGATTCAGTCAATGTTTGCTTGACTTTGATATTCTTCTGACATTTTGACAGCGGGGTGAGTTAAGTTACTTGACCTGAATGACTTTACTAGATAATGCTTGAAAAAGAATGCTGATTGTCTCAACTTGATAATTATAATTTTGGCAGACCTCACTAGTTATTGTTAGATCAATGTTACTTTTCAACTTGCATATAAAAATGCAGTCTCCTTCCCCTTTTGGTGGTCTTAAGAAGTAGGTCAAAGCCACCATCTTTGGAAGATGTGGCCACAGGTCTTCCTTGCTGTGACAGAATCAGAGTAGCAGAGTGAGTAAATGCAGGGGGTAGTTGTTTGAGGTAAAGCATCTGGAATAACCTGGGTCCTGTTCAACTAGTGCTAAGGTTATACTTCACATTCCCCCTGTGTACTGTTCCTGGTCACAGCTTTAATGTTAGTTTAACTAGACTTTGTATTTAATTATAACTGTTAGGGTAAAGTCAGATGTCAGCTCACTGGGCTGCATGCTGAGGCCTGTGGAATATGGAGTGCTTTGCTTCTAACCGCATCTGTTGTCTCCTCTCATTATCTGTTAATGGTACTCAACTTGACAGGGTTGTTTTGATAAATGAGGGATGGTATAAAACCTGGAGCTGGAATTTATGTGGAATGGAACTTAGGACAAAAGGAAGCAATGACACAGACAAGGGGCCAGGGTGAGTTGTGGGAACTAAGCAGTGCCATGTAGAATGCTGAAAATAACCATGAGGATTAATGTGGGGGTGAGGATGGGATATATCTAATTTTTTTATTCATTCCTCTCATACTATTTCTTTCACCTTTTCATGTGCTCATTTGCAAAACATCTGAAAAATTGGAACAATTTCCATTTCTTATATACAGATCTCTTAATATACAAGCTCACAATAATGGGGTTTAAAATTAATTTTTTACTTTGAGGAATTGGGAGAGTGGTTTTGGAATGGTATGTCACAACTGACTAGTAATCCTTAGCTCAAAAGAGCTCTGACAGAGGCTTCCCTGTCAGAGCAACAGAGGTCTTTTAGAGAGAAAGACAAAATAAAGAAAAAGTTTAAGGTAAAAGAGAGGTGAAGGATTATTCCTTTCCCCTCATTTACAGCCGGATTTCGAATTTCATAGTACTTTTACATTCAGAGAAACTGGAAGACAAAGTAGTGTACAATGTGCTCTCATTTTTATGTTCTATTTATATTGCTCTGTTTGTGTACAGGATTTAGTGATTTATCCAGTTTACCTGTTGCTGTTTGCCCCTTGCTTAAATGCCAGGCAAGTAGGAAGAACTTGGTTTGAGTAAATTAATGATGGCTTCTGTATCTTAAAAACTTTAAAAAAGTACAGTTTGCAGATAGGGTTGGGGTCTTGGTGTTTTTATGAGTTACCCCTAGCACAATTATTTGCATTTCTATAAAGGGGATGAAAATTTTCCTTTTACTAGACTTGTAAAGGTTAAAACAAATGCTGTTTATTTGGATAGATGCTGCTTATTTGAGAGAGGCTTCTTTGTGCCAGGAACTATGCAGAGAATATTCAAAAGGAATAAAACAGGGTCTTTGCCCTCAATTCACGTATTCATTCCATAGATCTGTATGCTTGACACTCAATACAGTTAGGTACTACTTAATGATAGAGATGTTTGGAGAAATATGTCTTTTTTTATTTTGTCATTGTGTGAACATCCTATAGTGTACTTACACAAACTAGATGGTATAGCCTACTACACACCTAGGCTGTAAGGTATACTGCCCTTGTGTATGTGGTCCATATTGACCAAAACCTTATGATGGGCAAATATATAGAACTTTCTCCAATGGAACCTGCTGTCTATAGGGGACTGTGGACATTAATCAGAGAATCATGCCAATGGACTACAAACAGATAAATGCTCTCCAGGAAAGGAACACAGTTCCTTGAGAATTTATAACAAAGAAACTTGACCTAGAATGGGGTCTCGGGGGAAGCTTCTCTGACAAAGTGGTATTTGACCTGAGATCTGAAGGAGTAGTAGGCTTTAACTGTGTGTATGGTGGGAAGGTGAGGAGGGTGGCAGGGAGGGAAGGAGATATTCCTGTTCTCCTGGGAAGGTGTAGTGATAGCCTGCAGTAGAAATCCTAATACCTTGGGGAA